CATCCAGTGTGGTGGAGAGGACAACCGCCACTGGGACCGATGATGGACCCAGAAAGCCACTGGTTTCTATAGACCCTATAGGGCTCCTGGCCTACCTCCGTTTCGAAGATGGTTGGGGTGGGTGCCAGGGGGTCTGTTCCCACTATGGGCCAGGAGCCCTATGCAGAGGAAAACAGTCTTTCATTCTCATGGTCCATGTGAGTTTCTTTCGGAAGTGCAGGTCCTGTTGGTCTCGCTTCTGCTCTCTCCGTTTGACCCAACGTTGCGCCCAACGGAGCTGGTGAAGCGGTCGTTCGGTCGTTGCTGTTGTGTTTTCCGTGGTACAGCGGGGTTGTGCTTTTGCGAACATATGCAAGAGTATGCACACATCGTTTGTTGGAAAACTTTTTGACAGCTACAATGTCAACTTGGAACACTATTGCGGTAAGTACTCAGGGGATCTCAGGGGTATTGGGCTTGTGCAGGAAGGAGCAGATTTACGTTCATTCCAGACCTAAGCTGAACGGCGTTATGAAGATGCATACAGGTTTTTAAGGGCATAGTTCCTATTCCTACAATCATTTTGTTCTATAGAGAGGCTTTCCAATGGTAGATCCTGGGCTGGTCCAATCCCTGGCAGGATTCTTTGGCAGCGGGGAGCAGTGAACTCCTTCCACTCTGGACGATCCGATGATTCGATGTTGAACCTCCTTGCTTGAGGAGTGAACCAACAACCTCCCGTAGTTCTTACAGTGAATCTTCTGCCTGTAGAATAGCAAGGCCCTAAGTGATGAACCCCTAAGTGATGAACACAGGAACGCGGCGCCCATTCTCTACTCACTGGATGGGTCTAAATTCCACCCGTTTGAAAGTGACGGTGTATAGACTATGGAATATGATTCTGAACTCAAGAAAGGTTTCTGCTTCCAAACGCACATCATGTGCACTAGATACTGTTTTGGTGGCGTGTCTTCTTTGTTTTACTTTGAGTGGTCCAGGCTTCAGCTCGGGTGCTCCGTAGAAATCGTCGGGACGGACGGCGGGGGCCTTCGCCTCCCGCACGATCCGCGCGTTGCCGAGGCAAAGACCTTCAGAGCATCGACCAGTTCCAGCTGGACCGTCCAGCGGGGGCGAGCGGGGAGCGCACGAGCTGGCTTCGTGGGACGAACGGATGGGTTCGGTTTCCCAAATGGGAGACTCTGAATCAAGACGTTGCATAAGAGCTCGATCCTGCGGATTGCGGACTTGGACGACTGTCAAGTGGTTTCTGGATCTGTTTGGCTTTGGCCTGGCCATTTGGACACTTGAGACCTAGTGGGACCGCGTTTTAAGGCGATCGTGGACCGCCTTCAGGACCAGCGGGACCCCTGTGTTGGATCCCTCAACTACAGGGACTACAGGGACTACAGGTCACCTGCAGTCTCACCCAGTGTCAAAGCTGATACTGCAAACCTGGTTGAGTATTTTTGCAGTGGTGTTTTCTTTTTTTTTTTGTAACGATCAACTCCAGTAACATGATCGGTCAGTTCCGCAGCGCATGATGACGACCGGTGCGTCTTTCACAGGCGCTCCCAGCGCACGGTCGGATGCCGCGCAGGACCGGTCGGAGGACTGGCCAGATCGCCCAGATCGTTCTAAGGGGAACATCGTTCCCAACGCCATCGTTTTCGGATGTTTTGGGACATCGTTTCGGGAAGGGCCCATCTTCACCTCATCCGCAGGAGGACGTGACCTTCTTTTATCCTGCTCGTCCAGAGGTGCGGTACGCCCGTCTAACCGGGCACCCCAACGGTGCTTCAGAACGAAGGGGTTTCGGTGTGTTTTTTGTGTTTTTCTTGATGGTTTTCCGGAACTGGGCGAATCCCCTGGCGTAGACCAAACTAGTCATATATGATGTCATAATATGTATTAATATGTTATAATATGTTTCGTTATGTTCCTGTAAACCCAAGGCTTGCACCTTTCTTTCCTCCAAGTGGCCTCACCTGGGCTTGGGTCGAAATCAACATGTTCGACCCATCAAGATGGCAATCTTCAATGCAAGAAGTCCTTTTTCAGCATGTTCGAAGTGATGCCAGGAAGTCGAAACATGCTCAAGTTGACTTAGCACATTCTTCAACTCAAGAACTTAATGGGTCCCTACACAACACCACCAAAACCTACACGAGACGTAATCCGGTCCACCTAATAAAAAACACGGCCCCCCCCCCCTAATAAGGAAACCTCGGTCGCATTTTTTCTAATAGGGGGTCCCTGAAATCGGGGGGCCCAAAATAGGGTCAGTGGATGTGCAATATGTTGTGGACCTTAAAGTGCAGATTTCGTGGCAGGCGCAGTACTTTATGGACGTTGAAGTGCAGAATTCGTGGCAGGTGCAGTACTTTGTTGGCCTTGAAGTGCAGATTTCGTGGCAGGTGCAGTACTTTGTTGAAGGCCCCTACTAGGAGCAAGGCCCCTACTAGGAGCAAGGCCCCTACTAGGGGCTCCTGGCATCGCTACTAGGAGAGCCAGCGGAGAGTCTGCAAGTCGATTTTGAGGGTGTATTGGGACCTATTTTGAGGGGGTTTTGGGGAACCTAATAAAAAAACTACCCCCAAAATCGACCATGTTGGTAGTTTAGTAGCGGTTTGAAAGGGCGGTAATTTGAAACCAAATATAAACCGAATTTAGGGGGATCCGGCATGACTTTTTTTGATAGGGGTCCGTTTTTTAATAGGTACTCGGAATTACTCATCAAAAGAATCCTTCAGAGGAAAATGGGCATCGATACGGCGCCATGCTAAACCATGCTAAACCTCAGGGAGTGTCGGTCAGGTCAGCAGATTGAAAACCATGGGGGTGGACACCCCACGACAGACAAGTAACAGGTGGTTCGCTCGTTGGTTTCACCTGAATTGTTCTGGGACCATTTCTGGGGTGCCCCTGGGATCTCCTCGGGGTTCAGTGGAGGTGGTCGTGCATGGTTTTGGCATGTTTTGGCATTTTCGGGTTTTGAGTTCCATCGACAAGATGGGTCGAACAGACAAGGGATGACTGGACCTGGTAGGTGAAGATCCTCAATGGCCTGTCCCTTGAGCATCAAGCGTGGATGCTAGGATCAGAGATTGCACGGCGAGCACAGCGTTCGGGCATCCTGACCCATGCAAAGGACTAGGTGTGTCGGGTTAATGCATGGAAGTTCTTCCATTGACTCATAGACATAGACAATACTTCCTTACAAGACCACAAAGAAGCAAGAGACCCGTGACCACTGTTGATATGATAAACATGTGTTTTTAGGTTCCCTCATCTGTCTTTTGGTGATACGTACTTGGGACACCTCGTAAACTTGCGTGTTGCCTAGACTTTGGGCACTCAGAAGCCGCAAGACGGCCCCACATCCCCAAACGTCCACCGGCGTCGCGCATCGAGCCGCAACCGCAACCCCAACGCCTCGGCCTCGGATCTTCGGGTGGACGAGCCGAACCGGTGGATCGGCCGGTTCCGAGGACAGAAGGTGGCTGTGGTGGGTGAGAGCGGCAGTGGGAAGAGCACCGTCATGGCGCTGTTGGAGCGTGTCTTGGGCCGAAAGAAGCTGCCAGGGTCCGACGTGGCGCTGAGCACGTGGCGCTGAGCACGAGCTGTGCGGTGAAAAGGATGGGCCAAAGACGGGACTCGGTGTCAAACCGAATCCGTTTCCTCACCTAAAAGAAGACTGGGTGAGGAGCCCAATCAACTCATCTCACATTCAGCAAGCCTTCCAAAGCCGGGTCCAGGTACCTAATTTGTCGGATAGTCTGACGGAGGTCTGAAGGACATTATCATACATGATCAGTCCTGCCCAGACGCTCCAAACAGCCCTTGGTCCCTCAAAACCTAGGGATTGGTTCGGGTCCGGACCCCTCTATATCTAAGGGTCCTGCCCCTACTCAGGAGGCTTGTGGTCCTGGCCTGCGGGTCGGGTCGTTGTCTGCACGTGACACGTGCATGGACATATGACACACACACACACTTCTGATTCGTCCCCAGCAGTAATCAGACATAATCAGACCCTTATATCATAGCAGACAAACCAGCATTTGGATCATTCCCGAATCTGGAAATCCATCACAAGATCGTGGAATCTTCTGAATGTGTGTCATTGCCAAGTGGAAGTGGACATTTGTTTGAGCCCCACATGTCAATTCTCCCCTGTCTGGAGCTTTGTGGGATCATTGAACTTTTGCGCATGGTCGCGTGTGTTTCAAACAATGGGATATCTTGGGATGCATACAGTCTCCAATTTTTTGTTTAAATCCTGAATACAGGATTCCAACAATGGTAAGTTCTTGTTCCCCACAGGTCAAAGACTTGGGGACTCCCCCGACTCCTTTCTCACGCGACGTGGCCACGCGACCCGCCGGCGCTATCACTGAGGCTTCTACGATCCGGCGGCCGGTCGGGTGTTGGTGAACGGTGAGGACCGTGTGGGGGGGATGCGATCCAGTGGGTTGAAGCACGCTTGCATGCCAGGGCATGCGCGGGAGGCGAATCCCGATGCTGATGAGTCCAGCAAAAAGGAGAATTGACGAAAAGGGTGGCCAGGTGAAACAATGCCATGAAATACCTCATTGTGATCCGAAATCGTAGCAGGGGATGTCAACAAATGTGAGGCACAACAACCTGCACGTGGAGTAATGACATATAATTACGTACTTTCTCAAAAGTTTTTGTATATACTTGGTACCAACGAAAGCTCTAATTCAATGCCAAGACCGTGGACCCGTGAAATAGGATAGAGGCTCTTATCAAGCGGTCCCAAGGTGAGAAAATCCATCAAAGATCAACATCATGTAGAATCGTGATTGATATAATACTCGCCCATAATATGAAGGTTTTTCGTGGTTACACCAAATGGGGCGCCTCGATTAATCAACATTCTACTGGCCAAAAAGCCGAGGCACATGATCTGCCTTGTGGATGTTGGTCTGTCGGTGCCCAGACCATCCTAGATATACAGTTGGTACTCAGCTGCTCCCTAAGATTGTCAGTTTGTCCAGGATATGAAGAACTTCAAGATTTCCGCCCTCCGCCGCTGCATTGGCTACGTGGGACAGGACCGACCCACAGGAAGGAAGGCAGCGCATGGAGGAAGCACCGGAACGCCCCCCCCGGTGGCTTCGGACCGGTCGTTCTGAGCTGAAACAAAGGGACCTAAAAACACCGGAAGACCCATGTAGAAAGCGCAGTAGGCACCTCATGAGAGTTGGCTGCCCCCCCTGCGAAAACGGTCCGCGCGTGACGGCAGGAGCCCGTGTTGTTCGCCAGCTCCATCCGGCACAACATCATGCAGGGCTGCCCTGGCGCCAGCAAGGAGGATTTCAACAAGGCCGTGAAGGGCGTTCGGCGTCGTCGCACCTGACCACTGCGTTCGTCTTGCTGTAGACATTATCATATGTTTTGGGGAGGCCCAGATCTTCCACTCGGTAGAGGCCAAGACCCTTGGGCAAGGCGATTCTGGGATGAATAAGCAGTGAGGTGCACTGTGGTGTTGATTTCTCGATTGACCATCGGTTGCGAGGTCCAGCGGGACCAGAACTTCTGGAAGTTCGGAATCTATAGACACGTGCTGCGTAGGGTTGAGGTAATATATATATATATAGTTCTTCCCCAAGTATATAGACCTCACGAACCGTTGGGAACTTCATCATTGGATATTTTTGGGCCACCAGAAGTTGCACTAGGGCAGATGCCCGTAATTATAACACCATAACATATTGTAACAGATTGTATTATCACAGTCACATTATAACACAAAGCTGTTCCTCAGTCCAGGCGTGTGCTGATGCCCAGCTGAGCTTTGTGGACAACTTGCCCGAGAAGTACAACACCTTCGTAGCCTGGCCACGTTTTCTGAAGCAAAGACAACGAAGCATATATGGATGGCCTGACCATGCCTGACCGTATACGGTATATAATGTATGATGCCTGGTTGATTTTATTGACCGTGAATGACCAAGTTCCGTTTTTGTGGTGCCTGGTTTATGATCCCTCTATATTCTTCCCAAGGAAGGAGATCAATGAACGGAAGTGTCGAGTGCTTTAGTGGAAGAGGGAGGGGATGAGGATGGGATGATGGTAGAAATGATGTGTTGGAGTCCCAGGAGGTGCTAGTTGCGGGTGGTTGGGTTTTCTGTACTGTCAATGTTGTCCTTAGAACTAACCACCAGTTGGACCAGTTACAGTTGGTGGCTATCAATGAGAGGGAAGGATTGTGTAACACATTGGACTTGTCCGAAAAAATACACATTCGTAAAGGTCCATATGTCCAGTTTCTTCGTACAGGGCCGGTCGTTTTCGGTCCGGGAAGGGTAGACGCCCATCGGGAAGGGTAGAGAAGCGCCACCCACACAGTTGTGGATGAAATACCAACGGGTGGAGAAAGCCGAAGAAGGGATGACGATACATTGATTCAATCAGGGTGTATATATTTATGTCACTTGAGTTATTTTGTACATGTTATATTTTTTCTCCAGGGAGGCCTTTCATAAGAAGACTCCGTTTCCCCTTCATCCAACATTCACGACGTTCATGCTGAACCATATATTGAACGTCTCCAATCCCCTCATCCAACTTGATCCAACCGGTGTTTTCCAACCTTTGCACCCTTGGTAGGTCGTGGACGGTGTCCCTTATGGAGTGGAGTCGACGATTCCGTGGCCGACCTTCCTCTCTAGGTCGGTGCGGGTGGCGGCCAACTGTCGGGTGGCCAGAAGCAACGCATCGCCATTGCCCGGGCCTTGCTGCTCGGTATTCGCGCGCACACGTTCGGGGTGTTCTGATTCTGGTGGATTGGTGGTCTGAGTTGACTCCAATTTCGGGATTTGTTGGTGAAGTATTTAGACGATCAAGTACTTGGAAGGCGATTCTTTGGGGTTCATTCCTGGTGGTGGTGGATATGTTGTTTTGTGCTTGCAGAGCTTGCCGCCTGTTCTTTTTTTCTATGTTCTTATTTTCCAAACCATTTGTCTTGTTTTTTCCTGGCCCAATTGCTGCGTATAACCGTATAACCATTCCTCCCCCGTATTTTTGTTGACGTTGAACACTTAAATGGCACTGTTCAATCACTATCACATGAGGTCCTTGTTGACGACCGTCCTTGAAGATGCAACTCCGCAGTCGTGCAATCCTTCAATCACTACCCCCACGCTATATCGGTCCTCTAGCTCCACTGCCATACTGTTGATACACCTGAGGCTAATACCGGTTCTCTCATGGAAGGATACGTGCTTTCGCCCTGCCAAGACACGCTCAGCTACGTGCAGCAAAACTCTCTCTCTCTCTCTCTCTTGGTGCACACACGCAAAAAAGAACTGGGGGCCGTGTGCTTGTTGTTTTTATATAAGGGAGCTGTGATTTTTTCACCTTCTGCCTCTCCTTCATCTCAGGTTGAAGAAGGCCTCCTTCTTGTTCTTGGATGAAGCCACTAGCGCTTTGGACAACACCTCCGAAAAGATGATCCAGCAGACCATTGCGCCTCGGTGGACACGAGGGTATTGATGGATCGTTCCGGAAATATTTTTTTTTTTTTTTTTTTTTCGAAAGGACCGGTGTTTTGGCTCACACCGGTGTGCATGTGTGTGTGTGTTTTTTTTTTTTAAAAAAATTTAATCTATTAATATATATATATACTTCATATACCCCTTTTGACTGCAAAGTTCAGGCAGGTTCGAAGGTTTTTGGTGTTTTGACCATGTGGATTCTGTTGGTTTTCTTGGACCACCTCGAAAACAGTTCGGGTCTTTTGGGTGGCTTTTTGGATCAACCAATCAATCAATCATCTGTTCATCCTTGAAGAGACGTATCCCCTCCAAGTCTCCTCCATTTCGATATGGTTCATTCATATATAGACGAGGGAATGTATATCTACCCTCAAGATCCATCATGACCCCTTCAGAAGTGTTTGCTGTGCTCGATCCATCTGGTCCATAATTGGCAGTCGTTTTCAGGGTCGTTTCAGATGTAAACCAGTGTCAGATCGCCGATCCCTCAGGACCCAGGACACCCCGAAGAGGACCCATCAGTCTTCCCCAAGTCGGACATCACCGAAGCTGAGGACTCCATCGGTGCCAACAGCGAATCTGGCCTTGGCATTGTGAGCATCGCGCACCGCCTCAGCCGCGTGGGTCGAAGAAGAAACACCACGCACGAAGCCGAAGCCGCCCCTCCAAAACGCCGGCGGACGATGCGTGGCATGGCGTGCGCCGGAGACGGTGCCATTGATTCAGGTCTTCTATTATTGCTAGTAGCGATGCCCTGCAGCTCCGAGTAGCGTCCTTGCTTCTAATTGAAGGTGGAAGCCACCAAGACTGAGGTTACGCCTCGAACGTTGATTATAGGGGTCTCATGTGGAAGTCGTTTGCCATCATCTAGACTTTTTTAGTATGACGCTGGCACGATCTGATCTGGCAAGACGATTTTCTCTTGCACTACTACAATAAGTTACTAGGCTAACTGCAGGTTTCAATACTGTTACTAGAGTTAAACATAGAAATTAGATTTCGTCGCCTGTGGCTATCGTAGGAGTCGGTGATTCAATATCAAGGTCTCCAAATACTTAGAAGTTCTTAGGTCCATTTGCAAGTGGTGAAGATCCTGACATGACCCATCAGTTGTCAAGTCTCACAGTATCGACACCTGTTTCCTTTAGCAATATCCTCTTCCTGTGATACCTGTGTCAATTCGGCATCTCCTCCATGGCTTCAGTATGTCCAGTGCTTGCTGCGGCACATCCTACAGGCTCCGGCTCCCAAAACATCCCAAAACCAAACGGCAGGACATGGAGGCGGACAGGTGGACCTCATGTCACCTTTCCCTAGGGATCCAGTCGTACCTTCTCAGAAGGTGGGACTGGGGACTCATTTCTTTTCCAAAGTCACGGAAGTTCAGGGGTTGCACACGTCCGCCATTTGGGTGAAGAAAAAGGTGTCCCTCATCCCTCCCCTGCTTTTGCTTTTCTCAGCCCATCACCATCGTTTTGCCATGAGTTCCGCACCGTTCGAGGCACGGTGCGCAACTCGGATCTCATCTACGTCCTGATGCGCGGCAGCCTGGTGGAGAGCGGCAACCACACGCAGCTGCCGCTCGGCCGGGTCTTCGGGGCTGGGTGGAGGACGAGCGTCTGGGCGTGCGCACGCATCTGGGGGTGCAAAAGGGGAGCAAAGCGATTGCATCACTTGGGAGAACTTTGGGATGTTCACCAAAACATTGGTTTGAAACATGTTGAAACATTACTCATATGTGATGTTGACTGTTCATGAATTCCAAGTCCCCCATTTGAAGATGTAGAAGCATCATTCATCCCCGAGAGAGACAAACGAATCCCGGTGGAGACCACCCACCCCCGTTCTCCGGAGAACGGCGGGAGGGTTAGTGTCGGTCACGGCGACGGGTTCTTGCGAACGGCCAGGATGGAGAAGAAGGGCTCGTACTTCGCCTTGGTCGCAGCACAGGAGTCCTCCCAGAAGGCTGAGGAAGCCGAAGCCAACCAGCCCTTTGGATGGGTGGACGGGCTTCCTCTTCACCGCTTGAAGCGCGGGCCGTGCCGTTTTTTTCGTTGATGAGTGGAGTGTCAAGTACTGGTGTGTGAGATTGAGGGTGGATTTCTGGTGGGTGAGAAGATGGAACTGCAGAACACCCTCAAGTGGAATTTTGCTTTGGAAACCAATGGTGACATAGGGTTTGACCCTGTTGGACAAGTGACGACAAGTGCATGGTTTGCTGGACATGCCTGGGTTGGAACGCGGCTATCTTCAAGCTGTTTTAAACAAGCCTACCACACCCTGACAAGCTGCTGAGGAGCTGCTGAGGAGCTGCTGAAGTGGTGAAAAACTAGAACTAGAAGTCAGCCAGCACCACAATGACTGAATGACTACCCCCAAGAATCAAGGTAACACTTGTCCTGAATTCTCCAGTGGAACCGGTGAAAAAGGATGAACAAGCTGAGATTTGCTTGATCGGTGGTGGAAATAGTGGCCAGACAGGTGGATGCTCATACATCTCAAACATTCTCAAACCAAATAGTGTTAATCAAATCTTATTGGAGAGAGCCTGTTTTCAAAATTACAAAACGTATTAAAAAAACATCAACTTAGTAGTCAGTCCCAAAAGTCAAAGTCGAAAAATCATCAGAAAGTCCGAAAAAAAACATCAATTGGCCCAGATCCGACTTTTTGTTGACGTACTTTGTTTGGACGTTATTTTTTGGTTTAACTACTGTTTGTTTGTTTGTTTTCCTTTTTTTTATGTGTGTTTTTTTGTTTTACATTTTTGAGTTGTTTTCTAATGTTGACCCTAGTTTTGACTTTTTTGACTTTTTTTTGACTTTTGTTTGATGTGTGTTTTACTTTTTTGAGCTGTGATCAATTTTTTGCTGTGTGTTTTATTTACTTGTTTGAGCTGTGATCCATTTGTTTAACATTTTTTTTGACATTTGTTTGACTTTTATATATTTGCATGTTGTTTAAACATTTTTTTGACTTGTTTGAGTTGTGATCTATTTTTGACATGTTTTGACTTTTTTCCGACGTTTGTTTTTTTGTTTTCCATTTTACTGTTTTCACTTTGACTTTTTCATTTGACATTTGACATATTTTTCATGTTTTCCGACTATTTTTTTATCAAGGATTCTGGCCTACCATATGAAAGAATCTTTTGAGAATAGTGATTAGACGTGCTCCCCAGTTCAGCTGCTTCGTGAACATTCAGATTCTCTCGGATCGTGTTTGAGACTCAAGGCTTCCGCACGACCACACCAGCGCCATGCTGGTCCGGCAGATGAGCGAGCACAGCCACTTGGGGTGCAGAACACAAGAAGCGTTCTTTTTCGTTGGACCCATGCATCCTCAGGAAGTACGTGGATCATCTGCAATAACTGGGGGAATTGGGGGAAGTCCCATCCAGAAACAGCTCCGAAGAACAGGTGGATCGAGTCGATGTCCGGCGTCCGACATGTGGGCCGAGGGCCGAAGGCCTGCTCAAAACGTGTGAAAGAGACAAGCAATGCCCAGACCATGGGAGTGGAATATGTGACTACCGATCATGGACCCGAAAATGACCCATCCATGGTTGACTATTCCAGTCCCATTCGTCTTGGAGATGGGATGGGTTTCTTGGTTACACCGAGCTTTTGGCAGGCACATGAGGTGAGGACCTGCTCTTTGGGGCTGTAGGTCACTGATGGTCACTGTATTGCTGAAAATTACAAAATTCCTTCAAAGATTCTTTTGTCAGAATTTTTGATGGTTATAGCTATATTGTACGGCATGATTTGTGATTGCTCCGGGGGAGGCGTTAAACATTTCACTGGACTGCCATGTTTGGGTTCATATCTCCAGCGGTGGAGATGCCTTCCAGACCGACGCAACGAACGACGTGCTGCGCTGAGGTGGCGAGTCCGAGAACGCGCGGGTGGCACGAGAGAAGAAGGCCTTGGTGAAAAAGCAGAGACCAGCATGTGGATGGTGGCAGGTTTCATGCATGCGTTCTAGAAAAGTGGGGATCTTCTCACTCTTGGACCTGAAATTCCAGAGAGAACATGCCATTTGTGTTTGCAGCACACGACATCTATGGCGACACAGACGCAAAACGATTGTTCTGGTGGCAACGGTTTGTTCCCTGCGGGTCCAAGTACTCTCCGGAACGGTGCGATGGACTCCATGCTGTGAACGAGCGTGCATGGTTTGGCAAGGAATCAGGGACCTATAGGGACCTCCCTTTGATACTGGATCGGTCTGAAAGTACCTCGAACTCCACTCCAGATGCGTCGACGCATCGAATGACACGACCTACGGCGCAATCTCCAATGGCCAGGAAGAGAAGGAGCGTGAAGCGCAGATTCAAAAGAACTACAAGGCCATGATTCAGAGTTTTCCAAACACCGGAAGCATGAAAGTTCGATGAAGTTATATACTGGCACTTAGAATCAATTATATAAATGGCTAGCGGCTATTCCCTTCAAATGGTAGAAGGCTCTTTGTGAGAAGAGATGTCATATTCAGATCGGCAAATCCATGCGCCCCAAAAACCAGACATGGTTTTTGGACATGGACAACATTTACTATAACCTTGTACCACCAGTTCCGCACCATGGTATTCTTCTCTGCAATTGTTTTACAAAAGGAGCAAACCGGCCTCCAAGAATGCCTGCCACATAGGGAGCCCGGTCAAGCTACCTGGAGCCCTGGCCGACCATGATACGTCGTGCCTTTCCAGGTAGGTCGTGCCCAAGGCCTCCTGGTGAAAAAACCCACGTTGCCACATGTAAACCGGAGCATGGGCGTTACCAGGACCCTCCTGTCGGGGGTGTCTATTTATAGCCCCTTAACCGTTAAGGGGTGTCCATTAACCACCCCTTGAAGGCCCTGGTACGTTACACACGTTACATGATTCTTTAAGGGCAGTGTTCTTTTGCTGCCAGCTGGACCTTTGCTTTCTGGCTGCTGGGGCAGTGGTGCCCAAAGTCGAGGCCCATCCACTTCGTCAAACCTTCAAAGTAGCAGCTAGCAGTTCATAATGATTGCCATAGATTTGGTAAAGTCCCTGAATGTCCCTGTAATCATAATCCGCTGCTAGGGGGAATAGGATACAAAGATATTCATATTAGTCAGTATAAGATATGATACATGTTCAAACGGAGGATAAGTGAATCCCTAAGTATGGAGGTAGGTCAACACCTCGATAGTAGCAACTCGTGGAGACTAACCTTTTTTCCTTGGAACGCCGCCCTCTTTGCTTTGGAAACCGGTTCCATTTTCGAGTGCTCCCATGTCCGAGGACATGTAGGTCCAGTGTGGGTTCTTCCCAGATTCAAGGACAAATGAAGTAATTACTTGCTTTTGAAGCACCCCGATGTGTGCAATTCTACCTAGAACCCAAATTATGACCTCTGATATGATAGGAAAAGAATGAAAAATACCATGTTTCGACTCCCAAACAGGGGTCTTTTCCGCATTCAAAGTTTTTCTCTTCTCCCATGTAGTATTTGGGACCAGGTTCGACAGGATCCACCCACCCCACATTGCGCCCCGCAAGTTGCGCTGCATCGTCACTCGGTCCAGGTGCCAATGGCCCGACTCTTCAGCAGCTCCGTTCGCAGAGCAGCGCATGCGGCAGCGGGGGATGTTCGGTGCGGCAGATTCGTTTGCTATGCTAGGCACAGACATAGGCGATAGGATCAATAGGCAGTGGATCGAGAAAGGAGCAACGATTCAATTTGACCTAAAATTGACTTGGTAGCGGTACTTATTTATGATTTATGAGCGCTTTTGTTCAATAATTAGAAAGGAAAGCACAACAATTGGGGCAAGATGACAAATAGACCTTCGACCACGGGATACCACGGGTATTGCGTGAGACATTTGAGAATCTGATTCTTGTTGTGTGTGGCGGGGATCCGGCCTCCACACAAAACCTGACCTGCAGTGTTTGTGAGTCGCCTTAACACAAACCTCCCGTCGGCTCATTCCTGTCAGATTCTCGGCTACAAAAAGTCTATCTTTACGAAAGCCAGCAGATAGATTGTGAGAAATTAGGGGGTGTTGGCATTGGGGTAGCCTGCTGATGGTTTGGGTCTTTGATAATGGTTGATGAGCTCATGATACAAAGATGCAACACGAACCTGTGTCGGCATCACTTGCAGCAGAAGTCTGTTGGAACGCCTCATCAGGCTGACATAAAATGCATTTGCGCCAGTTCCTTAGAACTCGCGCGTGTCCAACGCTCATTTCCACTGGCTTTCGTTTACCTCTCCCTTTTTCAGGTGGTCCAGAACGCCTATCATCTCCTATCGATGTTTTAGTTGGGTCGTTGCAATGGTCATCTCATAGACGTCCTTTCTCCGGGTGAACGGTCCTTTCTCCGTGGTGGATCGGAGGACGTGTCACCGACCTGATCTTTTTGAAGGTATACGAAGTGGTATACGAACCTGAAGGCTAAGAACAGATCTGCGTGGAAGGCGATTGGTTTTGGGTTCCGGGTGCTGTGTGAGGTACTAGGGCACAGGCCGGACACAGAAAGGAAACACATGTGCTCCACTGCCACTTCTGTGCAGTATCGTCACTATTAATTACCTGCATCCCGACCCTTTGCAACCTTCCCGTACTTCAGGCATCAAAAGGCTACATATCCTACAGGTGAACCCCGGAAAACAGACAGAGATCGACAGACATAATTATATCATAATTAAGCAATGCACAGACTATTTCGCAGAATCCCCCAAATGTTCGTGTGTCTTGTAGGCAGTTTTCGTTCAAGCACTGCCACCCAAGAGAACCCAAGGCCCAAGAGGAGGTCGTTTCATTAAGGAAAAACACCTCGATGAAGTGAAGCAAACTGAACAATCTCAGAAGCCACTGGAGACCCACAAGACGCAAAGGCCAAATCGCAACGAACATCTCCTTGTTCAAAGCCAAATGGCTGTCCCCCCTGCGCAGTGTGGTTGATTGTTTTTAAGGAACTTCCTTCGCCCATGAGGTCATGCTGTTTTTGGGAAATGATCTTCAAACAGTCAAAGGTCAGTCAACCAACCGACATCAACTTCATCAAATATCATTTTCGATATCTCTACGACGTTCTTCTTTGGCACATCAAATCCCAGCTGAGCAGCAAACACAAAACACTCACATCGGCTAAAGCCTCACATCCCGGAGGCTACCACCCGCGCCCGCGCTGAACACCGAGGCTACAACCAACCGGAGTGGCCTTACCTGGTTCCCGCGGTGCTGGGCGCCCTGATCGACGGCGCCGCGATGCCGCTGTGCACCGTGGCGCTGGTCGGCTCCATGGAAGGCACCGCGGAGCACGGAGGGCGGTGGAGCAAAGCGGGAGAAGACCGCGGGAATCGGGCTTTTCTGGTCGAGTCAAGCGGGTGGTCGAAACCGGGGGTTCAAAGGAGGAGAGGTGGGAGGTTCTTTGGGCCAATGAGGAGGTGGGAGGTGGTGGATGAATGACAGAAGATATCCATTTGTTTGGGGGTCGTGTGGTTGCTGATCAGAGGAAAACTTTGAATGTTTAAACACGGTTTCGGTGGCCGAAGTAAGATTGTTGATTGGACGATTCATGCAGTTTTTGGTCGACACTTTAATGAAGTTAATAACTTTTGTTGCAGAAGAGGCTGGGTTACACGCGGATTTGAAGGTCATACAGCTTTGCCAGATCTACCCTGACGATCTCATGCATCCAGGGAATCCCTCGGCGGCCTCATCTCCCCCAGTCCGCCCCCGGCCCCATCGAGCGAGCGATGTCAGGCTTCTTCAAGGAGAAGGAACAGATGCGAGAGGAGTTGCAGATGCCCGGACGAAGAATTACTCAGTCCCTGCAAGAATCATATGGACCGACATGGATGGCATGGCCAGGCCCAGACAGGACTCGGATGACCATGTCCTGAAGACCAAAACCGGTGGTGAACCACTTGACTTATGGACGAAGACTCCATACCCTTGACATGACCATCGAGTAGCGTCACAAGTCCTTCACACCCTTGCTCTACCCCTCCTGCTTTCGTCACGTGGCCATGTGCTGCCGATCCTTTGGTCCTCGGGAGTTGATCTTTGGCTCCTCCAACATGGTTCCGTTCCCCATAAGGAGCACTTCTGGTTCCGTTCCCCTTGGTGTTTTGTTCCACATAGTTGACATAGTTGACATATTGCCACGTAAGGTGTGTTCTTTTGTCGCCACTTACTGGTGTGGTTTTGCCCCATATGGGACCGGTTGGTCCGCCCACGAGCCCTGAGCTATAGAGCACCCAGTCCCAGTCGAAAAGATGGTGACATTTGTGGGGGGAACGGCTCCAGTTATGATCAAAACATATCAAAACTAGTTAACAACCATGTTTAAGCTCAACAAAGATGGATTCTTCTTTGACAATTCCGGTTTCCAAAGTGGCAAGATCCCGGGGCCCCTCTGACAGCTCCGTGGGGCCGCCAAACGCCGCCTACGCATGCCTCCGCGCCCAAGGATGATGTGCGTCATCTTTGCCTCTTGGTTCCATCGACGTATTGGGAGACCCAGACACGACCCATTTGGCTTCACAAATAGACATAGACAGACTGTCGCACATCCCAGGTTGGAGCCGACAATCCCAGCTTGGCGTTGATGTTTTTTGTTTTTAATATCCGGTGAAGGAATCAATCTCACTGATTTGCAGGGATCATTTTGCTTCTGATCGTAGTTTTGACAAATCTTGACGCAAGGAATGAATACGTATAGCACAGGTGCCTCTAAGGGTTTCCCTTTCCTTTGACTTTGAAAGACAGACAGCCCCCCTTGACCCGCGCTGTGTTTGCTAGAGCTGACTTCCTCGCTACCCACCTCAAACAAATTCACCTCTAATTACTACAATAACATACAATATCGCTCTATAATTTATACGAACACTCGTTTAGTATGAAAGAGATGAAGTTTCTCGTTTAGTATGAAAGAGATGAAGTTTCTTGATGTGTCGACATGCTCAGATCGCAAAAGCTCCTGAAACCCAAAGCCTTCTGGTAGGGCTGACTTAAAAAGTGTAGTGATAAACTTATATACTTGGACATCCGGGTAGCACGCATGACTTTTCCCACAGAAGTGAGGAACCTCTTTATTTCAGCAGAGGATCTTCCAAAAAGAGCGGCTGCCACCCCATAGGACTCTGTGTGCCGTCTTTGTTCCACGACTTCTGGACGATCCCCAAGCTGGGTGGAAGATGTTGATTTGTGCGAATGGAAGTGCAGCGACACGTATAGTGCAACTTGTACATATATATATGTACCATATGTACTTTGGCTCAAGGATCAAGCGACTAGAAAAGGTGCGGTTTCCGTTCCGACGCTACGCCGCTTATGGATCGTCAGTGATAGCTTCAAACTTCGCTGATTAAGATCCACTCGCAGGTTATCAGCCGTACGCGCTCTTTATAGCCGTACGAGCTACACGAGACCAAGAACAAGACTAGTCATTACAGAAACCTGCAATGTCAAGCTCAGGAGGAAATGGAAGCGAACCCTATTCATTCGCTGCTCCTGGTGGTCCCAACACCATTTCGTCACCAGACTCTACAATGGGTACTGATTCATCAGCAAATGCTGACGTTATCACTATGCCTACTGGATCACAAATCTCGGAAAGATCCGTGCCACCGGCTCGGAATCTGACCGATCTTGCACCCGTAGGACCAAGAAGATCGATGAGAGCTACAACAAGATCTACATCGCCTATAACGTCTACCGCGAGATCCCCAAGAAGGAGTATAGAGAAGAGACGTGACGATGATAGAGGAACAAAAGAGCAAAGAAGAGAGATTCAGCTGGGTGAAGAATTGAGATCGGCGAGAAACGCATACAATTTTCTTCATGAAGAATATGAATGCATCCAAGCCGGATACTCACGACTACACCACGAGGCTGAAGTGGAGTTCAGGCAAATGTCTGACTACAACAGGAAGATGCAGGAACATCTACAAGAGATGACACAGGAAGATGAAGGAGCGACAATAAGAATTGAAGAGCTCGAACACAAGCTACGCTTGGCGGAATCGACAGCTGAACATATCTACATGAGATATCAAGAGCTTGCACAAGAAACTCATCAAGAACATTCAGAGCTTGAATCTGTGAAAGCAACGAAGGACAGAATGTCCCAAGAGCTTCAAGCAGCAATTGGACACATCCAAGAACAGAATGAATCTTCATTGGCGATCAATAGAAGATCAAAAGCCATTCAGGATGAGAACACAGCCTTCGTCGGAATAGCTGACCAGATACAAGCTAGAATGATTGCGCTACAGGATGAGAATGTCAACATGCACGAGGTGATCCAACACCAGAGAGAAGAACAATGGAACAGTGAGGTCAGGGAAAGACGTCTTCAACACAGTGTTCACTCATCTCAAGATCAGAGCAATCAGGAAGCTATGGTTATTGATCATCTACGAGGTCAACTAGCTATGGCACGTGGAGCTGAACTCAACGCGAGAGCGGAGATAGAAGAGATGGAAGTGGGCATGAGGGTGGAGATATTTGTATGCCAGACTGAAGTCTCTGCTAAAGAAATGGCAGAAATGAAGGCGAGCCACCATGAATACGAAGCAAACGTCGCAAAGGAGGTTATCGCAAAAGGAGAAATATTCAACAACGAAGTCCTAGAAGGTTCCATCCGTGAACGACAACAGTTGAAAGACGCCAACCTCGCTCTATCCGAAGCCAACGCACAGCTGAAAAGAGAGAATATGATGAGAGCTCCTATGTTCGGCGATGATGGTGCTGAAATTCAACAGAAGATCAGAGAACTGGAGAATGCACTATTGGAAAGCCAGAAGGAGACAAAGAATGTCATTATGGAAAATGCGAAATTAAAAGCAGAAGCACGAATGGCACCCATAGTCTCTCGGTACAGCAAGCGTCCTAGTTCCAGAGACCGCGGGTTACCAACCCACGCGTCCGAGGAAGATGAGGTTCGGAACGCAAAAGAGGAGGCGAAGCACTACAAGGACGGGTACAATGAAATGACAGAGAGCCGAGATGAGATGTATGAATGGTATGCCGAAACCCACAATGAGTACGCCGAGGAAAGGGAGAAATCAATTGAGCTATCCGAGGCGAACAAATCATTGAGGGACAAGATTTCAGAAGCAGAAGCATCCTCTTCATCTCGTCTTGCACCGGCAACCTCTACAATCATGAAAGTATCGAGGAAGGAAGAATCAAAGATAAACGTTCCGTCATGGCCCAGGATCAATGATCTTGGACTATGGAAGGCAAATCTCATTCAATCGATCATCATTGCGGCCAATGATTCAGATCAAGAGCCCTGGATCGACTGGATCAAAGAAGCCATGGACGATCCTGATCCGGACAAGTTTGTCGACTCAGGAGACCAAAGATTCCATTCAATCGATGCCAAACTCGGCCTAGCTCTTACCAAGGTCGTCATGGATGCGAAAGATGATGGTTCAGGTGTAGCTATGAAGTTGAGGACGAGGATCAATGCAAAAGGGAGAACATCAAGCCTCATAAAGGGAAGAGAGGTCCTAGCCCTGATCCTTATGAATTTCAAGACAACATCAAATGTGGAAGTCTTATATACTTCAATGCACCTCTACCAACTAGAATATCAAGGAGACAAGAACTTATCGTTGTTCTTCCACACTTGGGATGAGATTCTGGCAGGAATGAAGCCCGTTGACGTCCCGAGCGACGAAACTCTTCGGGATCTCCTATGGAGAAAGATCAGGAACTCAAACCTCATGGCATACGACACCAGCGCCTACAACAGCATGAACGACGATGATGCCAAGAAGACATACAAACATCTACGTGATATGATCAGAAGGCACATCGAACGGCAAACTGAAGACAGGATGATCCTGGAAAAGGAGAAGGCAGTGAAGAATGTGGCCAATATCTTTCAGAATCTCAAACCAGGCGGACCTGCTCCAAAACTGAAAGCTGCACCAGCTGATCCGAAGAAGAAACCAAAAGGGCAACAAGAACAGGTTGTCTCAGAAGACGCTGCTGCAGTGAAGCCGAAACCCAATCCCAAGAAGCATCCTGAAGACAAGAACAAAAAGGGAAAGGGGAAAGGTAAAGGTGATGGAAAGGATCGCAGCCGAAGTCCGAGTACAGACAAGAAGAAGATACCATGCAAATACTTCGTGAAAGGTAACTGCACTATGGGGAAAGATTGCCCATTCAGTCACAAGAAACCCAGATCACCATCCAGAGGATCTTCTGTCGGAAAGAATGACAAGCCAGTATGTTGGATGTGGATTCGAGGAACTTGTGACAAAGGGAAGGATTGCAAGTTCTACCATGACCCAAAAGCCTCTCCTAAGAAAGGGATATCTGCACCAGCTGACTCAGGAGACGATAGGCCAAAGCCCAAGGCAAAACCCAAACCGAAGCCTAAGGCGAAGCCTGGAGCCCCAGCCATTGACGGTGAACTCTTCATGGACGAATCCGAAGATGAAGGGATTGCTGCATCCGCCAAGGCAAGAGAAGGAGGTGCAAAAGTATCCTTTGATGAAGAGACTTGTGAGATCATGTTGAACGAAGCGATCTACTCAGTCAGGAACAAATGGAAGGTAGTAGAAAGGAAACCTCTACGTCCAGACATCAAACGATACGATGAGAAAGAGCTCACCTGCTACACGAGGAAAGAACAAATCAGATTTGAAGAAAAGGTCGCAGAGGCAAGAGGCATATTGATGGTCCCCTACACTGAGATCAAGAGGGTCCGAATACCAGTTGGACCAAAGGGTGACCTAGCGGTCACTATGTCTTTTGACGAAGATGACGGCCTAGTTTTCCATCATAAAGTCATTCCTCATGTATGCGAGGGAAAGAAAGATCATGCAGACACAAAGACATTGTCTATTCCAGCCAAAGGGTCAAGAACAAAGTTCATCATGGACACAGGATGTGGGTATGATTTGATATCGAAAGGCAGAGCCAAGAAATTAGGTCTGGAAGTGAGAGAAAGCGACCAATCAATGTCATTCTATACCGCAAATGGAGTGACATCCACAAAGGGAGTCGCCGACATTCATTTCGACGAATTTGACTCTACCTACTCCCCATTCGTCTTAGATGAGTCTCCTTCAGTACTGTCTGTTGGAAAGAAATGCATGGAGGAAGGTTACACATTCATATGGCCAGCCTGCGGCAACCCGTACATGGTTTCCCCGAACTACAAGAAAATCATGTTAGAAGTAGAGGGAAACATCCCATATATTGTCAAGGGCAGTGACTTCTGTAACCCCACCGACGATGTACGGGCGGAGATGATCGCAAGGTTCACCCTAGGAGAAGGTGAAGCTGATTACCAATCGGCTTTCATCAACTGTGATGTGGATCCTCAAGGCGTCATGTGTGATGATGACGACCTCCCTGTGATTGAGCCTCCAAAAGTCAAAAGACGAAAGAGGAATAAGAAGTTCAAGGCATCTCCTGGAGAAGAAGATGAGGTAGGATCAGATGTCGCCGGAGACAGTGAACCAGAAGCTGACGATGATGATGCAGATGACATCGAGGTGGATATTGTTGACGGTGCAAGCAGAATGGTGAGAAGAGGAACTCTGAAAGCAGATGCCAGGAAAATCGAACATCTACTCACACACCG